ATCATTAAAGATCAATAGGATTAACTTCTTATCATTTCAAAGATAATCGCTTCTTAGATTTACATCGACTAACTTATGGCATGAACCAACGTACGTGAATATGGGTTGTAACACTTTCGCTCAATCTGCAAATGCCAAGTCAAGATAATAAACACCAAGTTATGAAAACAAAAAGGTAAGCTTGTGATTACTGATCTACCTGCTAGATGAAGTTGGCCCGCTCTTGAAGCATTTTCTCCGAACCCGCTCGAAGGTTGTTCAGTTCCTTTTCCCTTTGGGCGTATTGAGCATTTAGCTCATTTAACTCCGAAGCGAGCTTCTCGAACTCACCCTCACAATGAGTCAGTTCAGTTCGTAACTTGGAGAAGGACTGGTCATACAGGGTCATGACCTATAACACGAAAGGAAGAAGTTAGGAAAGCGAAGATCAAAACTCAAGGCAAAGTTTATGTCAAAAATCACCTGTTTTTGAAGTTTCGCAGCCTCCTCAAGAATGACTGGAGCATCGAGATCGATATCCTCTTCAACACCGACAAAGAAATCTCCAAATGCATCATCCTCTTTCCGGGATGCCCCCACATCTGGAGTCCTCCTGTTCTGGGCGTCCCGTATTTGCCCTAGGAAAAATGACGGGCCTGATTGAAGACCGCCTATGACATCAACCTCTATCGAGGCTTCCTCTCGCCCTCGAAAAGCTTCGGAGCGGGATCCTCCCAGTGCGCCAACCAAGTACTCGTCGGTGCGAGTTTTATCCTGTTCAACGGTCGGTTCGGGGACTGCACCCAAACCCTCCTCGAGGGGCTCCTCAATATAAGGTGAGGCCGCATCGGCCATCTCTGACTCGACGACCTTCTCCCAGGAAATCTCCGAAGCATCAACGCTTCGTCTTGCCCTATGTACCAGCGGGCAACTGTCATCCTCTTCTCCTTCGGCACGAAGACTCTCAGCAGATGCGAAGTTAGGATCATTGCGTCAGTCCTGAGCTTTCGAGCCTTAGCTCTCTTTGGTTTCGGGGACTCCGCCGGTGTCTCCTTCTTTCTCTTTCTTTCCTTGGCGGATTTTTGTATCTCCTCTTCGCCAGGAGGAGGCGACCTCATTAAAACAGCTTCCCGGAGGCCTGCACAAGCGTAAAATGTCAAACATACCACCAAAGAATCTATTTTACAAAGAATTTAGAGGTGATAGCAGCAAGGACATACCATAGTTTTTGGCCTCCCATCGAGTTTTGGCCAAATGCGCTTGTCATACGAGGAGGTGGAGTCTAGTTTAACCCAGCTTGGGAGGTCCTTGAACGCCCTGGGGACATACCATGGTTTTTGTCGATTCGGGGACTGCACCCAAAACCTCCTCGAGAGGCTCCTCAATATAAGGTGAGGCCGCATCGGCCACCTCTGACTCGACAGCCTTCTGCCAGGCAATCTCCGAAGTATCAGCGCTTCGTCTTGCCCTATGTACCAGCGGGCAACTATCATCATCTTCTCCTTCGGCATGAAGACTCTCAGCAGATGCCGAAGTTAGGATCATTGCGTCGGTCTTGGGCTTTCGAGCCTTAGCTCTCTTTGGTTTCGGGGACTCCGCCGGTGTCTCCTTCTTTCTCTTTCTGTCCTTGGCGGATTTTTGTATCTCCTCTTCGCCAGGAGGAGGCGACCTTATTAAAACAGCTTCCCCGAGGCCTGCACAAGCGTAAAATGTCAAACATACCACCAAAGAATCTATTTTACAAAGAATTTAGAGGTGATAGCAGCATGGACATACCATGGTTTTTGGCCTCCCATCGAGTTTTGGCCAAATCACGCCAAATGCGCTTGTCATACGAGGAGGTGGAGTCTAGAAGTTTAACCCAGCTCGGGAGGTCCTTGAACGCCCCGGGGAACCACACGGTGGCTACGCAACCAGAGGAGAACCAATTCAAAAAGAAAAAAGAAAGGAGTTAGTTTGAAAGAAGAAAAAAGGACATTCATATGGTAAAGCATGCTCGGTGTAACGACACTTACGTCTCATATTCCATTCCTCAGGGAATGGCATCTTCTCGGCAGGGATGAGGTCCGAAGTACTGACTCGAACGAAATGTCTCATCCACCCCCGATCTTTATCTTCGTCAGTATTGGTAAAAAATGCTTTGGCAGATCGATGTCGCAGCTTGACTAAGCCCCCTTGATAGAGGCGAGGGCTATACAATCTGATCAGATGATCAAGGGTGAAAGACATCCCCTCGATCATGTTCGAGAAATGTAGAATCAATAGACGATTCTCCGAAAAGAGGGGTAAATTTGACCAAGTGTCACTCGATATTCTCGGCAAAATCCGAGGATCACCGGGTCTATCGGTGGAGAAGAAGATCTACAGGGCCTAAAGTAAAAGGATACGTATACACACTGAGGAAACCAGGTTTATGTGTAGTTATATCCTCTTCCGAAGAAGGGATCTCTACGTGTACCGCCTCTCCCCAGTGGCAATCTATTTTTACTTTCTTTGTGTCAGTTATTAATCTAACATACCGAGACATGGGCTCGCATCGGCCCGGTATCGAAGAAGGTTTATCAACTTTGAAGTCGGAGGATGTATCAAAGGACCCAGGAACACACTCATCAACGCTGGGAGGAACTACCCTTTTGCTCTTAGACGAGCGTGACGAAGAAGGGGCTTCCCCTTTTTGGGGGACCGTCTTAGAAGTTTTGGCCATGGAAATAACGAAGTTTCAAAGCAAGATGGCGAAGACGTAAATGTAGGAGAAGGGTGAACACAGGAAACTGTTAACGAAAATTTGAAGATCTGAAGATGTTGCAAAGGTTTAATAGGGAATTGGAGTATTTATAAGTAAGTTGGAGGAGTTGGAAGGGCGACCAATAGCAGTTCGTGGGATTTTCGAAGACCGTGTTGACAAGACCCATGTACAGCTTTTCTGTCACAACATTTAATGACCTCACGTGGCTGACGTCACAATGAGGGCATCGAGGAGGCAAGAACTCAAGATCGTTTCTTATCATTTCATTATAAGAAACGCGGGGACTATCTGTATACGGCCAAAATCGGAAGAGTTTGACTTTGGGGTTATTGTAGCACTCCATGCCCAACCTCGAGGAGCTCGAAGTAGAATTTGAAGTATGACCCGGAGGTGCGTCCCTCGAGGGAGCACATCGAAGGTCAATCTCGGAGCAGTACAAATTGATGATCGTCATGAAAAGGCGGGAAAGCTCCCAAGAACACGTGGTTAGAGCTAACCAGGTCTGCAAGAATAGTACCAATCCGTACTAAGTCATTATACAGTTGTACCAATAGCCTTTTCCCGTCATTATTAGACATGTAATATATTGGGATCCCCCCTCCTATATAAAGGGGACCCTTGTCATCTTGTAAAAGGATTCGGATTATTATTGAACATATTGAATAAAATACAACATTCTCTGCTCTTTGCTAACACAATTGTTCTTCACATTTATTGCTTGTTCATGCATTGTTCATTTATCGTTCTTCATTTATTGCTCATTATTAACCGCAAAAGGCCATCTTTGAGGCCTTCATTATCATTATCTCTTCATCAATAGCTCATTACCAACTGCCCTAGAAAGGCCTCGAAGCCTCTGTTCCAGCCAACTCGAGGCTCGGTTCCGTGATAGCTTTGGTTTGTATTTCTTATTCTCTTTACTTACACTTAGCATTTATTGCCTAACAACTAGTACTAAAATAAATCACGTATTTTTAGAACCACAAAATTAAATATAATTGTCATTACCATTTTCAAGGGAAACATAACCACCTTCTCAAGAAGGATATTATGACTATAGAGGCCTCAAACAATCAAAATCTAGTTACACAATCTGTTAATCAAGAAAGAACATCTATGAGCCCTCTTTGAAGATATCGTCAGACCTCTCTATAACAGTATTCATATATAATAGCCATTCACTATAAAAACCAAGTTTTCTTCAGAACCGATTTTTTAAGTTATATTTTACCTCTTTATAATAACTTTTTACCTATAGCAGCAACAACCATATTTATAGCAGAACGCTCTTTGTAAAATTACTCCTTTATAACAGTCATATAGAAACTTTAAGATTACTACTAATAATTATAAAAATATGCACACAATATTTTCAATTAAACAAAGTTTCTATCTTGCATAAGATATAAGATTTGTACATGATATTTATTCCATTGGACAAATTCCAAAAAATAATTAGATAGAAATTTAACTATTAAGCTCTTAGATTGTCTTTTTCAAGGAAAGGCAATTGGATACGTTTTTGTTAAAAATTTGGACACGAATCTTCGCTAATTCAAGCGTTGTATCGCTATTAAGAGAATGAAATCTACGAAACAAGCTACAATTACAAAGTTCTTCCATCAATCTTGCAAAGAATTTATTTTTCTAGGCAGCTTTAAAATGTGTACCTTAAAGTTTAAATCTTTATACATTTAGTTAAGAATTTATTAATAATGTATTAGCTTTTTCCAATATTTAACTAGTGAAATATGCATATTTTTTAAGATTTTAAATTTGAATAAATTTTTTTATTTTTTATATGTAACGTTAAAAAATAAATTTGATTTTTCGATAATATTTATCTATAACAGCCAAAAGATATTTAAACGTGTGTATAACAACCATTCACTAAAAAAACAAAAAATATCGGAACAAATGAGGCTGGTATAGAAAGGGTCGACTGTATCAGCATATATATACCCTCACTTTAATTTCCTGTTGTATTTGCGTATAAACATAATTAGTTTGTACAGTAATACCTCTAAGCACCTTCCAATTCCTAGCCCTCCATGTATTTAATACTTTTGATAACCGAAATGAATTAAATAATTAGTTTTTCTTTCTTTTTATGGGCAATCTTATAACATGAATATACATTGCATGCTTTGGGGGCTTTGTTGTTCATTGTGCAAATGTAGCCTCTTAAATAGTCACAAGTCAGCGGTGGATTACACTCGAGCCAAATTATTCAGTTTCCTTCCATCTAGTTTTAGTGTGTAAGATAGCACTGTAATTCATGAAAGATGGCAAAAGCCAAAAGGTCTATTAAACTAACAACAAAATATTGTTATCTTTGTCACTGTCATTGTTAACCACAAACATGAGCAGTTCCGTATTGGACCCAAAAATAAGTATACTATACGAATTTGGCCTACTACCTGTACATACAATTCTCCAAGAGCAAAAAAGCCTCTGACTAAATCACTCCTATGAATCAACTTTGCGCACCATATAATATATCCATGAGTCAAAAAATACTCTCTCAAATAATCATCAGCTAAAAGTGGAGATAGAACGAGCTCTCCGACCGTTTTGGCGCCCTTTAGTTACTCCCCAGCCTTTCCAAAATCTCTCTGTAATGCCCAGTTTGTTATTACTAGAATTTGGATGTAACAGTGAGCAAGTTGTTCTCCCCCCAATATGGGACCATTTCCTACATCTCGAACTAGTCTTACGCAGAGTTTTCCTACATGGACCTGATTCAGATGCAGCATTTGCAGGTAACTTTAGACCTCCAATGGTCAGAAGATCTTCATTCAACTGATGCAGAGGGACAGAGGCAGCAGCAGGTAGCACTTCTGTTTGAAGGACTCTCTGATACTTTCTCCTCCTTGGTCGGCTGCTCCTTGCCCTACTACGCGATCCAACCTCATTTTCTAGATTACTTGCCAAAGAAGTTGCAATATCAGCAAGCCATCCCAGAGAGTCATGAGAGGCTTCAGATGGTTCACCGGTGAGAGTCTTTGAGCGTGCCTTGACAGCAAATGATGAAATAAAAAGTAGTGTCTCTGCTGCAGCCCTGTCAGTTTCCCCAGTGTAATCACTCATACGGTTTCTTTTAGACCACTGAGCAGATGTACCGATTGGATTGTCCAGAGAGTCCCCTCTAGGTGGAGAACATTCCTTGTTTTCGGGGCTTACAGGAGCTTCCAAATCTCTGTCTACACTAGTCATTGTTGCTTCACTGTGATCAGGTGATAATAAAGTTTCTTCCTTGAGGCAGGTAGTGGAATTAGTTGTAGTTTTTCTAGATTTGAGTGCAGAATCAGGACTCAGGATACAGTCAAGAAGAACAGATTTTTCACAAATCTCTCTTTCTCTGCCTTCAGGGAGATTCAGATGTGAAATATTGGAGGTAGGGGCGGAAAACTGATCATCAGACAAATCGGCAGAAGGTGTGAAATTCAAGTCCATACCCTTCACTGAATTCATGCTATCTGGAATCTTTGATAACTTAACAGCATCAGTCCGTCCAGATGTAGGGTCATTATCACCACATTTCATCAAGCAAGAGCCTGATGCACCAGAAGTTGGACTAGAAGCACTACTGTTGTACAGATCACTCTTCTTTCCAGTGAGACCAGAATTCCCAACAGAAGATTTAGGACTCTTACTGAGTGATGCATTAGTAATAAAGCATGGAAGAGCTTGCACTGCGAAGGGTATCTCCTTAATTTTTTTCCGTGGAGAAACTAGCAATGATTTGTTAGTTTTGGTTCCATTACGACTCTTGTCTACAAATCTTGGAGGTGAACTTGCTGTTTGATTACATTGAAGACGTGTTCTCTCAACAGAAGAAACTTCATCAGAAGAATTCAGGTTGCTTACATCTCCCCCTGTAGCTGCAGGTAAATAAATTGAAATGAGAAAAAGTTCACTCTACCAACATTTTAGTCATGCGACTCATAACAAAAAACACATAAAGGATCTGATGGAAGAAATAGAAAAGCAGCCAGTATTGGCAAATCAAATGTTAAGAACGAATGTCAGCTTAAGTACTATATTTAGAATATTTTCTCAAGAGAATAAACAGAATACCTTCTTTCTTCAGAGTTGAGCATTCTGCGTGCGCTGTTCCAGATAGATCCTGATCTGAGTTAGATTCAAGTGCAGAATTTGGACACCCTGTCTCATCGGTCTGTATTGGTTCATTCAGGTCAAACAAAAGAAAGGTACCCCTAGGAGTTGAGTTAGAAATTAAAGAATCTCCAGGATTAACAAAGTTGACTTTTGAACTATGTTGAGGTTGAAGCTCTGAAATCAGAATATTGGGCCCTTGAACAGGACTTTCCTCCACACATTGTTCTCTGTCTTCAATATCAACGTATTCTTCAGCTGGAAGTTCAAGATCGAATGTTCTCTTCCTTGACGCACTGCTTATGGAGGATGATTTTTTCCAATCTTTTCTAAGATTTTGTTCCGTCAACAAGTCAGCACCTGGTTGCACTATCTGACCAGAAATAGAATTTGAAGAAGCTTGAAACATTTCTCTATGTAGTGCAGATGGCTCAATGCTAGTGAGGTCAACCAGAGGCCACTCGGTTTTCTGGGAGATTTCAGACCTTAACTGTGACATAAAAGACTTCGACTCTGATGCTTGCAAGTGTAAATGATCCTCCACTAGCTTTCTCCTTCTAATCTCATCCATCAACTCCCTTTGTCTTCTATATACGCGATGTAGTTCATTGACCTGAGAAAGAAAACATGCTTTAGAGTTATATCCATTCTGATCTGTTCAGAGAATCACCATCTGATTAGAGCATTCCTAAGATTACTATCTGACCAGCATAAAAGAAAACATGTTTTAGAGTTCATTGATTGGACGACGACATGATCTCTTCCAAAGGGTAAGATCAAAGGCTTAGGTCTATACCTGATATCTAAATATTGCTTCATGCTTGAGTATCGTCTGCTTCAATATTTCCTTTTGATGAACTAATTCTACGTTCTGGTCCACCGTAAATGGAGGCAAGAAAGCATAGAAGCCTCTGGCACCGTTCCACGTGATATCATTGTGTGGTAGAGACCATGAATTACCAGTAACGCTCCCATTAAGATCTTTTGGAGGGTAATATCCTGGGAGATAGCTTGCACACTGCATTTTTCTCCCCACCCTTTGACACAAACAAAATGCAGAGTTTAGAATGTTATGCATATGAAACCTTTTATGAATAACCTTTTATGTTACAATAGAAAAGGGCATATATTGAAAGATACAGAACAGTAGGTCACAATTAATATGGGAGAGATGAAAATTCAAACAAAAGAACTTATTGTACTCCCATATTAAAATAAATACAATTTTCCATATTGTGTTAATCTATTTTACACTGTCAAGATCAAGGGCAGAATGGTAAATGAGTTGTGAACATTTTGGAATCAAGTGAAGCAAATATGAAATAAAGATTCTTATAAAGAGGCAGCATTCAAAGATAACTACAATTATGCTCCGTTGGTATCATAAAATTAGTTCAAGATATATCAGACTCAATGAGGAATTATTTGTCAAAAATTAAATCGAGACTTTGAAATCCATCCATAACAATTGAATGAAGGAAACGTGAAAACTGATAGGAACTTAGATTATATGGACAAAACACTCAGTTTCTAAAACCAGAAGCACTTGTAGTGGCAACATACCCAAAAAAAAAAGGAGGAAGAGAATGAAAGAAAGAAAGTAACAAATCTGACTTTTGACTCCAAAAACATTGAAACAGAGATCACGGTACAAAGAAAAAAAGGGAAAATGCCAGTACTACAAAACCCAAAAATTAGATAAAATAAGAGGGAAAAGGTCAACAATCATAGATCGAACCGATACAATCGTCAGTCACAGGACTAGCAACCGTCAAACATCACAGATGCAGACACTCAGAAGGGGAAAGAAGAAGAAGAGAGATGAAAACCAAAACCCAAAATTCCAATCCGCAAATATGCACAAAGCCACAAACAAAGATGCATCTACGAACAACCAAAGTACCCAGTTAAGAAAATCACAAAAAGTACACAAACAAAACAGAGAAGACGATTGAAGGAATTTGTAGAAATTACCAGAGAGAAATTCCTCGAAATGGACTCAGCTAAAAGATTAAAAAAAACACAGAAAGAGATGGACTAGCTCCAGCCAAGCTCAAAGCTAAAAGAAATCGGATGAAAACCCATTATAGGTGAAGAGTGAAGATAGAGCTGAAATAATATCAGAAAATCATGAGGAGGCTTATAGGAAAAGCCAAGAAAGAGATGCTACCGAAAGTCCATTTCCATTGTCGTCAACCAAACACAGCAAAATGTGGGACTGGAAAGGAAATGGCGTTTTCTGGATCTGCTGGGACCACTCTTCAGTCTTTTAGCTCTCTCTCATCTTCTTCTTTGTATTGTAAAGAGAGAAGAAAATAGTTAACTTACATAGGAAGAGAGAGAGAGAGAGTGATGGGCCATTTGTCAACACTTTGGGGTCTTATCTTTGCTTGAATTTTTCTTGATGATGAAGCGTTAGATATATGGATTTGTCTTTTAGATTCTTTCCACTATCCTTGTCCTTTTGTCATTGGAATGACCTATGCAAATATATTTCCAACTAATATTATAATAATAATTTTTGGGGTGAAGTAAACTTCTCCCAAGTTTCATTCTATAGATCAATATAGTCAAGATATTACAACAACATATTCAGTATAAAAATAGAATCTGAAACGAATAGTGTATACGCAAATCTTACCTTTACTGGCGAGATAGAATAGTCAAGAGTTATAACAGAAAAATATTATCAAAAGTTTGACCTCAATATTAGTTTAGGGATTCCTAAATACAGTGACACTGCAGTCTAAACAAAATAATTAATTTTATTAGTTTGAGTAATTTTCTATTTTACAAAAAATTAAAATTAAGATGTGCTAATACTTATTCCTTTCCTATTTAAGGCCAGTTATCTTTTTCATTCAACTAAATAAGGAAAGTTCTTTTTCCTAGTAAGGATTGTTGATATTCTCTTCTCATGAATCTTTTAACAAGCAATTTCTTATACTGCTCCAGCAAAATGATTTTTTTAAATCTTTTGAGTAAAGTAGCTTTTGTTAGCTCTTTCTTCTATCATATCACTTTTGTTCTATACATATCCATCTATGTGAAAAAATGTGTATCGCAGGTCCTCCATGCGCTTAACTGCTTATTCTTATTAAAATAGTGTAATATGATAGATAAGATCTTCCTATCTTTAACTAGAATTTTCGAGTTTAAGTTTTTTTTTTTTTTTTTTTAAATATGAAACGATTCTCCTTTGCAGAATTGACCATTCTAAGAAGCCAACGGCCCTTGGGTCAAGATGGATTTCATCTGGAGGAAGTCTCAACTGCTTTGGTTTAAGCTTTTTATGTAAATGGGTACACTTAATTTTTCTGGGATTGTAGTTTAATTAAAGCACCGCCCTATTTGAAGTTGCGGGTTCGAGCTCCATTAGTGTCGATGGGCTCAATAAATATACCAATTTATCACTCAATTTTCTGTGGCACGAATTCAATACACTTGGATTAGTGTATCTGGGAAGAGAAACAAACGGATCACTGAGTTCCCCTTTAAAAAGGATCTGCATACATAGCATCAAAATCTGTTAAAGCTTTGAAAAACTATTTGCTTAATTTTATATGGGGCATTTGCATCTATATCTGTTTTTTAGGTCACGTTTTAACTTGTACCCTCTTTGCAAAAAAAATTACAAGCGTACCCACTTTTTCGCGTAACTTCAGCATACGGGCCTGAAGTAGCAAAGTTAATTTACGCAAACTTCAGCATTCTAGTAGACGGACCTGAAGTAGCAAAAATTACTGAACCAAGTGTGCTAAAGTTTTTATTTGTAATTGCTGAACTCAAGCATCTAGTAGCTGAAGTTTTGTTCTCTATTTGCTGAAGTTTTTGTTTGTAATTGCTGAACTTAAGCATTCTAGTAGGTGAAGTTTTGTTCTTTATTTGCTGAAGTTTTTGTTTGTAATTGCTGAACTTAGGCATTCTAGTAGCTAAAGTTTTGTTCTCTATTTGCTGAAGTTTTTGTTTGTAATTGTTGAACTTCAGCATGTTTTAGCTGAAGTTTTTCACGTAAACTTAGTATTGGTTGAAGTTTTTGTTTGTAATTGCTGAACTTAAGCATTCTAGTAGCTGAAGTTTTGTTCTCTATTTGCTGAACTTCAGCATGTTCTAGCTGAACATGTTTGTTCTATATTTGCTGAACTTCAGCATGTTTTATGCTATCATGTAATTGATTTTTTGTACAGATAATAAGTTTATCATAAGTAGAATTAGTAACTCAAAAAACTAGATAAATGATTTAGCACAACAGGTTAAAATGCATTGATAACGTACAAAGCTGGATCCAACAAGTTACTATCATCTTTTTCAAAACTTACTTTAGAAAGTTATTTATAATTTGTTTTAAATAATCTGATAAACATACTTATGGCAATCATCCCCATGAACTGAAGTTTCATAGCAGCACCAACAGCAGCAGAAAAAAGAAGAAAACGAAGGAGGAGAAGGAGGAGGAGAAAGGGGGTTGAAGTTGTTTAAAAAGTGGGTACAAGCTAAAAAATTTTTAAAAAAAATGAGTATAGGTTTAATGGAGGCGACCAAGCAGGACGCCTGTGCAATTTTTACATTTTATACGCATCGCTGGTCCTTGATTTGCGTTATTACTATAAGTTAACTAAGCCCTTAAATTATTTTCTAAAAATAAGCCCTTATTTGCTTTTGTACCGACCAACCTAAAGTAGGTATTTAAGGACTTATTAAGACTTGTTGCTCGTTTAATCATATGCGAACCCAATAAATGAGCTTGAAAAGTTTAGCCTAAGGAGCATTAACTTGAGTTAATCATGCTGAGGCAATTCATTAATTAAACTATTAATATTTGAAAAGAAGCCAAAAAGAATAGTAACATAAAGAAACCTAAAACATATTCAATGTTGGTGGTTGTCTCAACTGTATAACTACAAGAGATGATGCATTAACACCCACGTTATGTAGTTATAGCTATTTAATTTGCATTATTGAATAAGACTATAAGTGTAATTTAATCCAGCTTGTCATTATCAAGAATATAATTAATCAACTTAGCAACCCAATGATTAGCAATCCATTGGTTACGTTGCTAACTTAATCTAAACAAAATTGTGACTTTTTATACAGAAATTGCAAGCTTAGCCACTTATCATTCTTTTCTAATAGTAAGATCTCGTATAAAATCTAGTCTTCGTATTATTTCCCGTTAAAATAGCACGAGTTAACCAATTTTCGGACTGGTAATTGAAAAATAGCCAGCGTTTGCAAAATCATTGAAAAATAACCACTATTTTGCTACGAAAAGTTCCAGCATAATATACTGGAGATTAATTTGGAGCACCTGTGTATGAACTTCTAGCATATTATGTTGGAACTCCAACACATGAAAAATTCCAGCATAATATACTGGAGATTGCAGCACATGTGTATGAACTTCCATCATATTATGTTGGAACTCCAACTAATTATGAAATTCCAGCATGTTATGCTGGAAATTCACATGTAAAAAATTCGAACTCCAGCATATTATGTTGGAATTTTTTCCGATTTTGAACTGTATTTTTGTTCATATCTTTGCATGAGAAGTGGCTAAATTTCTATTACTTTTGAAACTATGGCTATTTTTAATTACCACTTGTAAATTTGACTATTTTTGAATTTCACACTTATTTCCCAACAACATAAATTTAGGCACTAGAGTCTAATTAATAACCTTCCGGGGTTCAATACAATTTCTATTGACATTTTCTTCCTCTCTATAATTAAAGTGAGTCCAAAAAATATTGATAAAGTTAGTTATTTAAAATTTTAAAATAACTTGATTATTCTTAGAATAGTCTGGATCCTCCGAATATGTTGACTATCCAACAATGATAAGATAGCGATTAGCGAAAAGAATAGAGAAAAATGATTCAATAAAAAGTAGAAATTATTTTGGAATAAGTTCAGATTAAAAGTAAGACATCGCTTGCTTAGAAAAAGAAAAAGATTTTTTTTTTTTGGAGGAACTGAATATCCATAGTTTTACCAAAGGGAGATAAAACCAATTTATTATTTTTCTATTTCTCTTCTTCCATATTTTTGGGAATAAACCTTAATTCAAGACAGGTGCGGCTCAAAGAATTTTGTGGCCTAAAGTCAAAATATATTAAAAGGCCCTTAAATGTTTATAAACCCCATATTATGTGAGACACAAAAGAAACCTACATGACTTTGGTCTAGTGGTAAGAGTGCAACACATGATAAGTTAGACTCACATCACGATTTCGAACTCTCCCGTGGACAATAGTATGATATTTAAGTGAAAAAGTGCAGAGAGGAGGACTCATTATCCATCGATTCGAATCTTGTGCCGCTGCCCTCGAGAATTTCTTAGCTAAAAAAGATGAGACATAAAAGAATTTGCTTTCTGATATATGGATCAAACTGTTTGGCTCAAAAGTTATCGATATACTTTACAAGCTTAAAAACAATCAAAAGTAAGAAAGGGTAAATCGTAATCAAATATAATAGACTTAGAGATGAAAAAATGAAGTTGTTGTTGTAGATCTAATAGTGATAATATGAACTCAAGAGAAAGTATTCGTTAGAGATAGCGATAGAGAGAGAGTATGAGAAAATGAGACAGTTGTATTATTTCAGAATCCTCCCCCCTTTACAATGTGAAGGTCTCCCTTATATAATAAGAGACCTTCCTCGAAATAATCAAAAAGTTACAAAAATAGGTAACGTTTTCCTAGTGAAGACACTGAGTCCTAAACGATGTCGCTTTTGTCCCCACGTCCGAGTCGTACCCTTACGTTAGTCGGCATATACTCATTGGACGTACCCATTGGCGTAGAGACGTTGACGGTCAAATTTGACCCTATACACAAACAAATATGACAAAAAGAAATAGCTAACTCATAGAATCCGAGTTGAAATTAAAGAGTGAAATCGTCAAAAACATAAAGAAAAAAGTGTACATAAAAAAGAAATTAAAATTGATGAGAACGTAAATATACCGTTTAATTCAATAAGAGAGAAAATTTGTAATTATTTACCTACCAAGTCATACAACCTCAAGTAAATTTAAAAAATATAAAAAATTGATTTTTTTTAATAATAATTATATAAATTATATATTTTATGTAATACTAATATACTAGTAATATTTTATAACTTTGGGGACCTTAATATTTGGGGGCTTTAAGGCAAGGGCTTCATCTGCCTTACCTTAGAGCCGCCCCTGATTTCAAGACGCCACCGCTGAAAATTCCGAGGTTGCCCTTTTTTATATGATCTCTGTCTATGCGTCGACAATACGTTTTGTGAACAGAGACTAATAGGTCCCACCACTAGCTGATCCAAACTAGGATAATATTACTTTTTCTTTTTAATAATTACTCATTCCCCTATTCTAATATACATGACACACTTTTTTATCTGTTTA